TGTAAATATTCTAGATAAGAATTAAGTTAAATTACATAATATTAATTTAAATAAAATTCCAATTGATATTTTTCTTATAAAATAAAATTACGAATTATTTTTATAATTGAATTAATTTATATAATAATATGTCAAGTCGATGAACATAAAAATTAATTCAATTGTTTAAATAAGTCGACAAAGTAAAAAATCAACCAACCAAAATATAAATCGATAGTTTACAATAAATCGATACAAAAAATTAAATCGACGAATAAAACAAAATAAGTCAATGGTTTAAATAAATCGATAACTTAAAATGTCAATCAAATTAAATATAAGTTAACAGTTTAAAATAAGTCGACGAAACTGAAAATTAAGTCGACGAAAGTAAAAATTAAATCAATGGTTAAATAAATCGAGAAATTAAAAAACCAAGCAAACGATAATATAGGTCAACAGTTTAAAAATAAGTTGAAGAATCTGAATATTAAGTCGACAAAAATAAAAAAATAAGTCAATGGTTAATTAAACAAGTCGACAAAGTAAAAAATCAGTCAAACGAAATATAAGTCAACAGTTTAAAATAAGTTGACGAAGCTGAATATTAAGTCAACGAACATAAAAAAAAATCAACTGTATAAATAAATCAACAAAGTAAAAAATAAACCAACCAAAATATTAATCGACTGTGTAAAATAAGTCAATCTTTATTTTTTTAATTAAATAAAATTTTTAGCTTTTAGATATTAATTTACTAACAAAATATTTTTAAAAATAAAAAGTAAATACAAAAATAAATTTTGAATTTAAATTTAATAACTTGAAATTATTCTTAAGTTATATAGTAATTTAAATATGTATATGGGTATTTACGTAACAAAAAAAATTATACTTTTCCAACTGTACAAGATTAAGTATACTTTGCAAATTTTCATTAAAATTTAGGGTATTTCTCAAAATCTTCCATAAAATTTTTGTGCCGTTGCATATCTTTTTCAGTGGCTCCACCGATTCTTCCATAAGTTATGTTTGATCAAATCATCTCGTTGAATAAAACGGGTTTCTGGCTAGCCAAACCCATATATTTTCTTAACCAACTCAATTGGAATATGTCTGAATCTCCTTATGATGCGTTTCATTTTACGATGAAATTAAGTACACATGGCGAAATAATTAACAAAGGAATGTTACCAAAGAGGAGGTCTTGTGCTGGCGGTTCTTCCCAAATACAAATTAAACATGGGCCTCTAGTTTGATTCTAATTGGTTAGAAACTAATCCACGTCAGGCTCCTAGGTTCCTTATAAAAGATTCTCACTTTGTCCTCTAATAAATTGTGCTCCTTTTGGTATTTCTTTTTGCTAAAAAAAACAAACACTTTTTTCCACATCTTAAAGAGAAAAGATCAGAGATTCTCATGGCGATTTCGATCTCCGGGGCTGTGATTAGTGGGATAGGTTCTTCGCTCTTTATTAATGGAGGCAAGAGAACCGGCATTGGCGGTATGAGAGTTGGCCGGAAGAATGTGATCATTGCACCTCAACGTAAGAAGTTGTGGGTGCCAACTGCCGTGAAAGGTGATGCCGGAAACTCAAAGAACGACCCCAAATGGCTCGATGATGTATCGTAAGTCGATTTTGTTTGGAGATACGATATAGATATTTGAGATCGACTAAATCAAAAAATTCTCATATATGCTCTTACATGAACAAAATCGTAAAAGATGATAATTTATGAACCTATTGGTGATTACTAATACTACTAAAAATATGTTAGATGAGAGAGAGAATTTATACACATTATCATCTCCAATGACATGGTTGCACATCATTTTTTTACATTTTTCCAAAATTTAAATCAATTTTTAGTAAATTATTTGGAAAACCATCAAATTTAGTTGAAAAATAATATTCTCTTAAGTTTTTTTTGGGTATATACGTCTTTACATTTGCTTCTTTTCTTTAAAAAGTTTGTTTATATAGTGGAATTTATCATCTATAATATAAACACATATTTTGTTCACTGTAATAATTTTGTAAAATTGTCACACACAACAATAAAAGAGAGAGAGCTTCCAAGTACGTGAAGGACACAGGAAGCGAAGTGGGACACGTATCAGCTCAAAAAGGACAAGAAATTAAAGATCACATGGAGAGAGCAAGAAACTACATTGTTGAGAAAGCTAGTGAAGCGTTAGACTCGGTGGCTGAAAATGCACACAAAGCTTCGGATTTTATGGCGGAGACAGGCAAAGAGACCAAGGACGAAGCTGTTTCAATGACGGAGAAAGCCAAAGATTTCATCGTCAAAAAAGCCGGTGAAGCCAAAGATAACGCGACAGATATGAGCAAGAAAACGGCTAAGTACGTAGGAGATAAAGCAGCAGAAGCAAAAGAATCTATATTACCTCCAAAAAACTTAAAGTAGCTAGTACTGCTGTATGATTGGAGCCCTAATATATTTAAAAAACTATAGAAATTGAGGCAATAATACGTACTAAGGAAATAGTATTTTTTATTTTGTGAGAATAAAACAATACATAAACTTAATTTGCTATAATTAATCAGTGGTTAACCAATCAAATGAAATCTTTTAATCCTAACACATTTATAAAACTATGCTATATAAAGTTAAAGAGCACAATGGTGTGAATCTTGTTAAAAGTAGAGATAATATACCGACGTTACCTCTTTCTTTACAAAAATCATTTTTGTAAATAATATTAAGTCACTTAATCATAGCTTCTTCCGATGTGCCTATAATAATGTGTTTCCAAAAAAATTCAACAACCAAAAAAGCTTAAATCAATAGACGTTAATGATCAATCGACGATATATATAGAGCCATGCATGCATACAAACACCAATAAAAACATTCATGAGAAAATGGTTCAATCCAATTTCGTTTAGGCTTTTAACCAAATTTTCGTCTACAAATGCCACATTAAGAAGTTAATTGGAACCAAAGTTATTACTCTCTTTTTCTTAAAGTAAAGATCTGGTATATTCAACCAGTTAAACCAATGTCCAATGATATTAAACTTCAATACATCATATATATAATCTGATTATCCATTAGGCTCTAATCTATTTTAAGAAGATACATTCTCTAAAATATCACGTTTATGTTATGTTATTAACAAAATCATAACAATTAAAAAAATCCTGAAAATTTTGGAAAATCTTTTCAAAAAAAAGAAAAGAAGGTTTTAGAACTATCCTTACAACTCAATATGCTGTTTAACCCTTTAAACTTCTTTTTTCTATTTCTAAAAATTTGTGCTGTTGTTTTTATAATAAATAAAAATTAATATTTTTAAAATGTTATTTTAAAAATATATGTATTTTTGTATTAAAAGTTAAGAAAATGAAAGTAGAACATGCGGCCGGCATGGCCCCTCCTCCTACGCATTTGACCTTCTATAACAGCATGCTTTCCCCC